CATGTGTTCAAGCACTACATTGGGCATACAGCCTACTTAACAACAACAACAACAACAACAACAACAACAACAACAAAACAGCAACAAAAACATTACAAGTATGATGGCAACAGAAGTATGGCAACAGAAATGTGGCTTCAGGGTTAAGGAGACAATGAGGAGTAATGGGGACCTGGGTGAACCTGGGTGAGCATCTATTCCAGAGGATGGTTGCTACTAAGACATAGGGACCCCCAAAACAGATCCTTTCTTTTTTTCAAAAGCCAAAAGTTGAAATTTTAGGAAAATTTGCCCATATCCAAATATCAGTGATTGATTCAAATTGTTGAAAGACACTATAGGGACTAAACCGAAGTAGATCTATGGGCTATATTTAAGCTGGGTGTAGACTGTGAGTTTGCACTCTCGCCTCTAGCCATGGGTGTGTAGTTCACTGATCTATGTCCTTGAATTTCCGGGTTTTAAAGGAAGTGGCCCCCAAATTATTTAATCTGGGTCACACAGGGGCCTTTGCTGGGGGGTCTATCTGGTTTCCTGATGCAGCATCTCATGTGCCTGGTCCCAAAGCCAGAGAAGCCTCACCACTATGCTGTCTGTGAGCTCCCATTCTGTCCTGGGCCCTGACCTGCCACCATCTCTCCCCACCAGATCGTAATACTCAAAGATATTCTTCATGCAGCATCTCTCCAGGCACTATACTTGGTGCTTTATATGCACTCTCACTCAATTTTCATAACAGCTCTATGAGGTAGGAGCTACTATATAATCCATTTCCCAGATGAGGAAACTGAGGCTCAAAGAGGGGAGGTGGCTCACCCCAGGTCTCACATTCAACATCTACGTGTTTTGAGTGCTTAAGCCACAACAGACACTCCAAGTGGCGTGACTGACACTGGGCAGGTACCTGAAGTACGCTGTTACCATTGGTGAGGACCAAGATCCTTTGGGATTGATTGGTGCTCACACCATGCCAGTTAAACATTCTAAACATCATCCCTGCTGTGGGCTTCCAAAGCCCGAATCCTTGATCTTTCTCCTATCAACCTCTAGGGATGACCAATCCTGAGGTGATTCAGAACCTGGAGCGAGGCTACCGCATGGTGCGACCTGACAACTGCCCAGAGGAGCTATACCACCTCATGATGCTGTGCTGGAAGGAGCGGCCAGAGGAACGGCCCACCTTTGACTACCTGCGCAGCGTGCTAGAGGACTTCTTCACGGCCACAGAGGGCCAGTACCAGCCCCAGCCCTGAGAGGCCTAGCTGGCCGGGCCTGGAGCCCTACCTCCATCTAGTCAACCTGGCTGGGGGAGATGCAGTTCTTGTGTCTTACCCATGTGGCCTATGCACATATGGACTCTGCACGTGAATCCCATCCCCCGTGTGGCACATATACTTCTTGTGTCTTATACACGGGTTCTGTAGTTGTGTGGGCTCTGCACGTGTGTCTTGTACATGTGTGGCAAGTGCATATATGACTTGGACACCCATTCAAGTTGTCCCTTTGTGGGTCCTACCTCCCAAGACCACCGGAGAGAAGGGAGACGCCTGTGATTGATACCAGCTTCTGCCCACCCCCTTTTCCTTTCCCCTAGCCATCAAGAAACTCCTTGAAGGCTGGGACCTTATCTAATACCTCTGTGTGCTCCTCCTTGGTGCCTGGCACACATTAGGAGCTCAATAAATGACTCTCTGTTGACAAAGACTGTACATCTCTCAGCTCCCTATTCCCATCTCCTCTTCCTTGGGAGGGAGGAGTGGGGGTTCAAAAGATGGAAAGTAAGTCACCCTGAATTGTGAAAGATGGGATGAGGGGATGTCTGATCTTTTTTCAGCCCTGCTGATTTGGGGGGGCCAAGAGGAAGTTCTTACACTTTGCTGTATGGGCTTTGTGAACTCCTTCAACCCACCCCTACCCCAAAGGATTAAGTGTGAACCCCTGCGCAGAACCTCCTAGGGAGTGGGTGTGTCCCAGGACCCTCCCCTTCCATTATGTAAGGGCAATAGCTTTTTTTACAATTACTGATTCTGGGGCTAGATTTGTACTCAAATATGTTTTGGTTCACGTTCAAGATGTTTTTGAACACTGAATTAATTTACTCATTTGGCAAATACTTATTGGACATCTACTGTGTACCAGGCATGGTTCTGGGTCCATAGAATATACAATAGATTAAACAAACAAAATCTCTGTCCTTATGGAGCTTACATTCTAGTAAGGGAAGACAGACAATAAACATCGCCAAGAGTAAATGATACGGTATGGTGCTGACTGCTAAGGGGAAAATAAAACAGGGTAAGGGAAATTAGGAATGTCATCGCTGGGGGAGGTTTTCAATTTTAAACAGGGTGGTCTGGGAAGGCCTCATTGAGAAGGCGACTTTTGAGCAAATATTTGAAGGAAATGAGGGAGCAAGCCACAAGGTATGAGGCAGGAGCAGAGGGGGATGAGCAGCCTGAGGCAGAAGCTTCTTTGGCAAGCTCAGAGACCAAGGTCCTGAATGGGGGAGGGGGGGGGCCTGAGGGGCAGAGATCCTGTGTGGCCTGGGGCCTTGTGATCTTTGCAGGAACCATTTCAAGGAGACTTTTCGGGGATTTTTGCAGAGGCACGACATGATCTGACTTACATTTTAAAAGAATGGCTGCTACTAATGTCTTGAGTTAGTCAATTTACAAAACTGGGAAGATTTTGCATAAATCTCCAGATTTCTAGGGGCGCCTGGGTGGCTCAGTCGGTTAAGTGTCCAATTCTTGATTCATGATCTTGTGGTTTGTGAGGTTGGGCCCCAGAGTCGGGCTCTGCCTGGGTAGTGTGGAGGCTGCTTGGGATTCTCTCTCTCTCTTCTCTCTGTCCTGCCTCTGCTTGTGGGCATGCTCTCTCTCTCTCTCAAAATAAATAAATAAACATAAACACTATAGATTTCTACCTTCTCTTGAAAAAAAAAAAAAAAAAAAAAGGACGATTTGGCTTTATTGGATTTACCTGTCATGGAGCTGAGTAGTGGCCGCCCTCTTCGGGTGGGATTTGAGCTCTTTCTTTGCCAAAGTCCCTTCCACTCCCAGACAGTGACACTGAGTGTTAGTGGTTATTTATCATCATGCTTGCACTGTTGTTCTTATAATGAAGAGGAAAACGAAATGTTTTTTCCACCTATATTTCCATTAAAAAGTGACAAAAGATACCTGCAGATGGCACTGTGTTTGAAGAAAGATAGGGGAAAGGCATATTGCTTTATAAAAGTGAAAAAGGATCCAATTTTAGAAATATGCAAAGCACCTGAATCAAACTAATATAAATTAATATAAATCCGCTTATTTTACACCACCTGCCTCACCTCCGTAAGGATCTGAGTGTCTGATTCCTGTTCTGCATTTTATAAAATGTTGCCACACCCATGACCGCATCTGATCCCCACCCTCCTCTTCGTTCCTGCAGCCATAGAATTGGTGAACTTTGCATTGTTATCCTCTCCAATTTACAAAGAGGGAAGTGGGGCCAGGAAGGTTCCTAGCTGGGAAGCAGCAACACAGAACTGGAAATAGGGCTTATTCCCTGGCCCTTTAGCTGTTTTATAATAGAACTGCCAGTCTTAGATCTGTTACTTTTATAATTAGTGCCCCAAATGCTGTTCTCAAATGAGAAACACAAGTGCCCAAGCCCTCTTCAAAGGCTAGGGGCATAAAAACGTATCTTATGGACTACAGGACCATGAGTTTGTAACTTAGTTGGCACACAGATGGTAAGCATTTACTAATATTAATTTTGTGTTGTATTTGTTATTTTAATAGCTCATCACTGTGCTTTTCAGTCTTTCAGCTTTCAGTAATGAACAGTTGATGACTGATCGGTTTAGTGCAGTGTTTCTCAAGGGTAGGGTGAGAGCAATTTTTGCCCTGGAGACATTTTTGCAATGTCTGGAGACAATTTTGGTCATCGGTACTGGGGGTGAGAGTGGAGGTTGCTATTCACATCTAATGAGTAAGGGCCAAGGATGCTGCTAAACATCCTACAGGGCAGGGGACAGCCCCCTGCAACGAGGAATTATCCAGCTCCAAATGTCAGTAGCTTCAATAGCTTGAGAAATCCTGCTTTAGTATAAGGGGGCAATCAGTTCCCTCCTGTGTAAAGGCACTCTTCAGTCTTCCTGGGGTGGGTGGGTGGGTGTGTGTGTGTGTGTGTGTGTGTGTGTGTGTGTGTGTGTGTGTGTCTGCACTAGGGAGGTAGGCTTTGGAGTAAGAAAGGCTGGGTTCTACCCCTTTGTTAACAGTGTCTCTGGTGCACAGTAGGCATTCAAAAAACCTGTACTACTGAAAGCTGAATTTAATTACTAATTGTGTGACTCTGAGCAGGTCTCAAAGGTCTGAAGTTCATTATTCTTACCCGTAAAACGGGGATAAAAAGTCCTCTTCCAAAGCCGCTGTGAGCAATCATTGAGATAAACGTTGGTAACTCTATTCCACAGTACTCGGCCTAGAGCGGTTTTCTTTCCTTTGTCAGTTTACTTCTCCCTCTTCCAAACCTGTGTTCTAATCGACGTTCAGCCCTGTCATTAGCTGAGTGACCTTGTGCAAGTCACTTTCCCCCCCACAGGCCTCGGGTGATTCTCTATAAAATTACAAAGTTGGCTTCTGACCTCCAGGCACGCTTCCAACACCGAAACGGGACCGTGGAGTGTACGGATCTGCTTTCCTCCCCCGGGACTAATGGTACGGTCCCCGGGCAGTTTCCCCCACCCCCCTGTCGCAGACCTTGGTACAGGCCCAGGGGGCCCTCGGCTGCCTCTCAGGGCTGCCCTTGCCCCCAGCCGAGTTCCGGGCCGTCCTTGCGCAAGCTGATTGGCTGGAGCCGTGCCCGGGCTGCGCGGCTATAGGTGAGCCCGGGAGGGGACGGGCGGAGCGGGTTGGAGGCCCGCCCCCTCCTCCCCTGGGTCGGACGCTGAGCCGAGCCGCGGGCGGGAGGCCGGACGGACCGACTGACGGGAGGGACGGGAGCCGAGCAAAATGGCGCAGACTCAGGGCACCCGGAGGAAAGTCTGTTACTACTACGACGGTGAGCTCCGTGCGCGTGGCGGGGGCGGGGCCGCGCCGGGCCGGATCCAGGAGAGGGAGGCTGAGGAGATGTGAGCGGGGAGGCTGGGAGAGGCTGAGGCGTTGGGGAAAGGCTGAGAGAGGAGGCTGCGAGGAGGTCGAGGCTGAGAGAGGAGGCTGAGAGGAAGGAGGTCGAGACTGAGGGAGGAGGCTCAGAGGAAAGAGGTCAGGGTGAGGGAGGAGGCTGAGAGCAGGAGGTCGAGGCTGAGGGAGGAGGCTCAGAGGAAAGAGGTCAGGGTGAGGGAGGAGGCTGAGAGCAGGAGGTCGAGACTGAGGGAGGAGGCTCAGAGGAAAGGAAGGGAAGTCGAGGCCGAGGGAAGAGGCTGAGGCCGAGCGGGGGTCGTCTGGAGAAGCTTGGGGTAACTTGGTGGCGGGGGGCGGAGAAGGGGGGAATCCTCAGGAAGCTTTATGGGGAGAGTTTTAGTGGGACTCCTGGAGGGGAGGCTGAGTCTGAGCCGGGAGGCAGGATCTGGTGGAGAAGTGTGCAATGATCTATTTTCCTGCTGAGAATACAAAAGTCTTCCTCTGCCCCTTTGCTTCCTCATCCTTTTTGGTGAGAGTCCTGTGGAGTCCCCACCTCCTGTCACCAGCCTCCCCTCCCCCAGTCTCTGAGCTGGGCCTGCAGTTGCTGCTGGGAAATGGGGCCCCTGGGCTTGGAAGGAGAAAGTTGCAACCTGTTAAAACAGACTTTTTCATTTAACAAAAGCCTATGGAGCAGCTTACTCTGTACTAGGGATGATTAGCTGCTGGGACCATGGGGCTGATCAGGTCACTTCCCGTCTTCTTCTCAGTCTGGAAGGGGAGATAGACAGTGGCAGGGAACTGCTCTCCAGTGTCATGCTGGGATAAAGGAAAGCTCAGAGTGTTTTGGGAGCACAGAGGAGAGGTACTCAGCCCAGCCTGGGGAGTCAGGGAGGGAGGTGCCATCCTGGACCCGAAGAACAAGAGTTATTAGCCAAGCTCCCAGAAGGCAAAGGTGACAGTAAGTTTAGAGGTAAGAGAGAGGACAGCATTTTTGAAAGCAGGTGTGTGTACAGCATGGCTGAGGCATAGGTTTGAGGGCAGAGTGTAGAAGGTCAGGAAATAGGGTGGAGGGAAAGGTTGCAAGTGATGAGGCTTGAACCTCATGATCTGCGGACCAGATCATGAAGGGCTGGACACACTGTCTTAAGGAAGTTGGACTTTATTGTGAGTGCACTTGTGAATCATTGAAGTTTTATGCAGGTTGTGACATCATCAGATTTATACCTCAGACCTATCACTCTGAGACAAATTGAATTCGCCAGTGTACGGGTGAGGAAGACAGCAAGGATCCCAAACTTCTGGGTTGGGCAGTTTGATGTTGAGTGTTTGGAGAAGGTTATGTCAGTTAATAACTTTGGGGTTTGGGTTTTTTTAAGAAGTATTTTTTGAGGGCTATCTCTACTAGGGGATATCCAAGTAGAGGCATCCAGTAGGCAGTTGGCCATTCAGGTCGCCATTTTTATTTTTATTTTTTTCAATTAATTTTGAGAGAGAGAGAGAGAGAGGCAGAGTGCGAGCAGGGGCTGGGCAGAGAGAGAAGGAGACAAGAATCTGAGGCAGGCTTCAGGTTCTGAGCTGTCAGCACAGAGCCCAGTGCAGGGCTTGAACTCACTAGCCGTGAGATCGTAGCCTTAGCCGACGTCTGACGCTTAACCAACTGAGCCACCCAGGTGCCCCCAGGTTGGCCATTTAGAAGACAAAAATGAGAAGATAAAGATTTTTGGTAGTTGTCAGCATGCAGATGGTAATTTTAGTTATGGAAGAGGATACAATCACCCAAGAAGTTGTATAGCGTGGGAAGAGAAGAAGATCGGAGTGGAATTCTAAGGACATGCACTGAGGAAAAGTCTAGTGCCCTTCATGCTCTGTATTCCCCTGTCGTAGCACTTGTCACTGTGTGTTGGAATTGCCCATTTACTTGTTCGTTCTTCTTAGACAGTAATCTCCTTAGGGAAAGAGACCATGTCTTGTCTAGCTCTGTATGCTCAGCCCCCAGAACAATGCCTAGCTCAGAGTAGGCTGTCAATAAATACTTGCCGATTACATTGTACAGAGGGAATGTAAGTGAACCAGAAAGTCTTGGGTTACAGTAGCCAAAAGAAGGAAGGAGTGGCCAAGTGTTGGCAAGAACTGTTTTGTGTGTACAGTTTGGAACTGAAGTGAGATTGCGGTAGATTGAAGAATGAATGGATGGGTGAAGACAAGACATCAGATTGAACCCTTTTCTTTCTTTCTTTTTTTTTTTTTAATTTTTTTTTTAACATTTATTTATTTTTGAGACAGAGAGAGACAGAGCATGAACGGGGGAGGGTCAGAGAGAGGGAGACACAGAATCTGAAACAGGCTCCAGGCTCTGAGCTGTCAGCACAGAGCCCGACGCGGGGCTCGAACTCACGGACAGTGAGATCATGACCTGAGCCGAAGTCAGCCGCTTAACCGACTGAGCCACCCAGGTGCCCCAAGATTGAACCCTTTTCAAAGGAAGCTTGGTTGGGGCAGAGAGAGAGGGTTGTTGATACAGGGGGATGTAGTGGCTGAGAGTTGAGCATATTCAAAATTTGAATGGTAAATAGCCACGGGGAGGGGTTGAAGATACAGGAAAGAGAGGGATGGGTAATGATGGAGGTTCCTGAAGAGACCAGGTGAGATGGAAACCAGAGCACAGGTATGGGCACTAGCCTTCAGGGGGAAGTTTCTTCATGATGAGAGGCAAGGAAAAGTTCAAATGTAGGCAAGTTTGATGAAGAGAAAGTTGGAGGTTTTTTTTGTTTTTTTTTCAACGTTTATTTATTTTTGGGACAGAGAGAGACAGAGCATGAAGGGGGGAGGGGCAGAGAGAGAGGGAGTCACAGAATCGGAAACAGGCTCCAGGCTCTGAGCCATCAGCCCAGAGCCTGACGCGGGGCTCGAACTCACGGACCGCAAGATCGTGACCTGGCTGAAGTCGGACGCTTAACCGACTGCGCCACCCAGGCGCCCCTGAAAGTTGGAGTTTTCAAGATGAGGTAGATTATTATTTCTTTTCCTGTGAGTGGGGGGAGGGTAGTTGGTAGAGTAGGAATCTTGAGAGAGATAGCTGTGAAGTAGCTGTTGTGAAAGAGGGAGGTAGGAAAATAAATTTGGAAGAGTTGCTGGGCAGTGGTGAGGGCCTATTTGGGGCTGGAGCCTGCGACTTTGTAGCTGTATCGGTTTGCACTGTTTTATGATCTCTCCACCATTAGTTTCAAAAGAGAAAAAGTGGAAAGACTGCAGTTTTTAGGCAAGGGAGATTTCTTACTCCTTGAGAAACCGCTTGTGAGTTTTGCAGTGAGGTCACTAGCTTGGGACTCAGATTTGGTTCTGCCCCTCAGAAGCTTTGCAGTATTGGGCAAGTCACTTTACCTTTGCAGGCCTCAGGCCACTCTCCTATAAAACTGAAAAACTTTGAGAACAATGGGAGAAGCTTTCCACAAGTTTAAAGGTAGTATCTAAAGGAAAATGATTATTTCTTTTAAAAGTCTCTTAGCAACTGGATTAAAAGCTGTTAAGAAAAGGATGGTGTCTGGGCCCCACCCTCAGGTACTCCCCTAGCCTTCTAGATAAGTTATCTTAGTCCCCCAAGTCTAAGCCTTGGCTGAATTCAGGTTTGATAGGCAGAGGAGTTGCTGGGGATCAAGGCCCAGGCCAGAGACCTGGATAAGCCGTGATCTAATTATGTAACAGTAATGGTCATGTTACTGACTGCCTTCAAATTGGGTCTGCATCTGGATGTCTCAGCCAATGCCTTGAAAACCTATTCTGTCAATCCTCATAGCTGATAAGCTTGTCTGAGGGTCTCTGGGAGCAAAATTTTCTGCCTGCCTCCTCTGCTACTGCATCTCAAAGTCTGTCTCTATGGGACAAGGGTCCCAATTGAATGCCATCAAATACTGTACTCTGGCTTGCGACTCTGGCTAAGAGCACAGTTCCTGCCCTCAGAGGTCTGCCTAAGATTAAGAGAAGAGGATAAAAGGACATTAAACAAAAACTAAGGAAAACTAAGAAAATTTGAATAAAGCATGGGCTTCTTTTTAGTTAATGACACTGTATCAATATTGGTTCATTAACTGTAACAGATACTTCTTATTTTATCATGTAGAATGCGAATAATAGGGGAAACTGCCTATGAGGTATCTGAGAACTCTATCTTTGCAATTTTTCTGTAAATCTAAAATTGTTCTAAAAAGTAGTCTAATAAAAAGACAGAGAAGAGGGTGAGATCCTAAATATCCAACTGTTTAGAAGTTTCCCATTGTCCCAGGCCATGTCTATGACCAAGAGTATTGGAGTGTGGCTTGGATACTATTGGTGGCATTTCCCACAATGCATTGCTCCCTGGAATGAATTCTGTTACTCGTGCCACCAAACCACAGTGCATAAGAGGTTGGGACCTTCTTTTCACTGGTGCTCAAAGATCTGCCTCGTCTTGATGGACTTCTAAGGCGAGAGAGATCTATCCTTGGGTGTGCAGTTCACTTGATTTTTGTGCTGTTTTTTGGCTTTTAACTTTTTCATTAAAAATTTTTTTTTCTTAGGTTTATTTATTTTGAGAGAGAGAGCGTGCACAAGCAGAGAGGAAGGGCAAAGAGAGAGGGAGACAGAGGATCCAAAATGGGCTCTGTGCTGATAGCAGAGAGCCTGACGTGGGGCTCAAACTCAAGAACTGTGAGATTATGACCTGAGCCAAAATCAGATGCTTAACTGACTGAGCCACCCAGGCACCCCAGTTTTTTCATTTTTTTATAGTAAGCTCTGTGCCCAAGATGGGGCTTGACCTCACAACCCTGAGATCAAGAATCGCATGCTCTAGCAACTGAGCCAGCCAGGCGCCCCCACTTGATTTCTGGAATATTTGTTCCAGGAACTTTGTGGCAAGTAGATTCACAGAGCCCTCTGGTTTAAGTGCAAATTGAAGTAAGTATCTGGTAAACCCAATGTAGCTTTTAGGATACTGAATTTGGAGTCAGAAGAGTCGACTCCTGGATCAGTTATTGGTTGTGTGATCTTGAGCAGGCACTTAACCTCTCTGAATCTCACTGAGTTCAGTTCCTTGAATCTTTATTCAGCTTCTGTGATGTTTAGGGCATATTTGTCCTTGTCTTCAAGGAGCAGCCAGTCTTAGGAATATAAATAGATATGTAAGGGGACACCTGGGTGGCTTCAGTCAGTTCTAAGTGTCTAACTCTTGAGTTCAGCTCAGGTTGTGATCTCATGGTCATGGGATTGAGCCCCACATCAGGCTCCCCACTGATCTTGGAGCTTGCTTCGGATTCTCTTTCCCTCTGTGCCCCTCTTCTGCTCTTGTGCGCGTGCGCTCTCTCCCTCTCTCAAAATAAATAAATGAATAGATAAAAATAGATATGTAAATAATTCAGATACAAAACAAAATTTGTTAAGTGATATATACAAATTGTATACAGAGGAAAGGACCATTTATTTTGATCAGGAATATGTTTGGCACTTAAGCTGGGGTTTGTTGTATGAGGATCATCAGAAACGGAAGGACAATCCAGGTCAAAGGAACAGTCTGAACAAAGGCTACTTGGGTGTGAAGGTGAATGCCATGTTCAGGATGCTGATAATAATCTAGTGTGTTTAGAACAGAGATTGGCAAATTTTCTGTAAAGGGCCAAATAGTAAATATTTTTCACTTCGTGTGCCATATGGGTGGGTCTCTGTGGCAACTATTTACTCAGCTCTGTTATTATAATGTGAAAGCAGCCATAGACAATATTTAAACTAATGGGCATGGCTGTGTTCCAGTAAAATTTTATTTACAAAAAACAGGCAGCCAATTGTATTTGGCTCAAGGGTCATAGTTTGCCTATTCCACTTTGGAGCGGAGAACTGCGAAAGGGAGAAAGGGAGGGAGAGGGAGAGTGTTGTGGGTTGAATGCCAGGCTAGTGAAGTTGTTCTTTATCCTGTAGGAGATGGGGAGCCATTCAGGATTTTTTGAGCAGAGGAATGATGTTATGAAAGCTGTGTATTAGAAAAATAACTGGTCGTTGTAGTAGATAGTTTGAATTGAAGGCAGAGGAATCAATTAGAAGTCTTTTGCTATAGATGAAGCAAGAGATGATAAGAACTTAGTTTTCTTATTTATAAAATTAGAATAATACTTCCTGTTCTAACTATTTTATGGGGTTATTGTGAAGATCCAGTAAGAAAACTAATGTAAATGTGCTTTGACTCCATAAAGTGTCACAGCGTGATAAAGGTGAACTGTGACTTATAATAATTCTGAGTACTAACGGTTATTTTTCTGTTGTGGGAGTGAATTCTTTGGAGATATATAGTGGGGTGAGTCACTCACTGCCTGTTATTCCCGAGTAGCTTTGGAATGAACCCCTTACACTGTCTAGTTCCTGTGGACTAGACTTAACATCCTTAAATGCTGACCTCACCAGGGTCCTCTGCTTTTTTTTTTTTTTTTTTTAAATGTTTATTTAGAGCACGCATGCATGGAGGGGAGGGGTAGAGAGAGAGGGAGAGCAAGAGAATCCCAAGCAGGCTATGTGCTGTCAGCCCAGAGCCCAACTCAGGGCTCAAACTCACGAACCATGAGATCATGACCTGAGCCAAAATCAAGAGTTGGATGCTTAACTGACTAAGCCACCCAGGCGTCCCTGCTTGCTTTTTTTTTAAATTTTGGAGTTACCCTTCCTCAAGCTGGGTAGAATCTTGGAGACTAGAACGAAAGAGAAAAAGAATTTGACTAGGAGATAGTTATAAAGATTCCTGGATTCTCCTGGGAGTGTATGTCGAACTGTGTCACTGAAACTGTCACTCTTTTTTCTTCAGGGGATGTTGGAAATTACTATTATGGACAAGGCCACCCAATGAAGCCTCACCGAATCCGCATGACTCACAATTTGCTACTTAACTATGGTCTCTATCGAAAAATGGAAATATATGTGAGTTACTGGGAGCCCTACCCTCTCTAACCTCATCAGCTCTGGTCATAGTTATTCATCTCATTTTCTCAACTACTCATTCATCAAATGTGTTGAGTGGCTATTATGTGGCAGACACTGTAAATGATAGAGATTTCTGTTTTTAAAGGGTTCACTCCAGTGCTGGAGACTGACATGTATACAAATAAGTTGTACTACAGTCTATTATAAGTGCAATAATTAAAAAATGTACAAGATGCAGAGATAATAAAGAGTGAAGGAGGAAGGGAGCCTTGGAATGTTTTCTAGAGGTGATATCTGAGCACAATTTTAGAGACTGAATAGAATTTAGCCTGGAGTTCAGGAGGAGACTGACATTCTAGACCAAGGGAAAAGCATAGACAAAAGGCAAAAAGAGGTGAGAACAATATGATGTGTTGGGGAACTGCTACAAGTAGTTTGATGCACAAGCAGTACTGTAGTGTAAAGTTCACAGGTATGAGTGAGGGGACCTAGAACTGGAGAGGCCAGAAAGGATTGGATGTGCTGTGCTATGTGACAAGCAGCTCTGATGGGCAAGAGTCAAAAAATCCAACGTTGAAATGGGGATTGTGTTGAACTAGACGCCCAAGTCTCTACTGGGCGTTACTGGAGAGCATAGACTATCTAAGTTCTTTAAAAAAAAAATTTTTTTTAATGTTTGTTTATTTTTGAGAGAGAGAGAGAAAGAGACAGAGTGCAAACAGGGGAGGGGCAGAGAGAGAGGGAGACACAGAATCGGAAGCAGGCTCCAGGCTCTGAGTTGTCAGCACAGAGCCCAAAGCAGGGCTGGAACCCACGAACCGTGAGATCATGACCTGAGCCGAAGTTGGATGCTTAACCGAGTGAGCCACTCAGGCTCCCCTAGACTGTCTAACTTCTTGACTCAGTTCCAGCTGATTTTTGCCCATCTACAAGTTTTTAAAGAGAAGCTGGAAATCCACATTATTATGTAAAATTGCCTGGGTTTCAAATATTGACCCAAGTTGGTTTTTTGGTTTTGTTTTTTGTTTTTTAAAACATGTTTGAACAAAAACACATCAGTACATCTGTGGACTAAATTTGGTCCAAAGGTTCCCAGTTTGAACCTCTTCTGGAGGCAGTGAGGAAAAAGTAATGGATTTTGTTTTATTTTATTTTTTTAAGTATTTATTTATTTATTTATTTATTTTAATGTTTATTCATTTTTGAAAGACAGAGAGAGACAGAGCACAAGCAGGGGTGGGGTGGAGAGAGAGGGGGACACAGAATCCGAAGCAGGCTCCAGGCTCTGAGCCGTCAGCACAGAGCTCGACACGGGGCTCGAACTCACAAACCGCGAGATCATGACCCGAGCCGAAGTAGGACACTCAACCGACTGAGCCACCCAGGCGCCCTTAAGTTTTTTTTTAATGTTTATACCTGCCATGGGGCTCGATCGCACAATCACAAGATCAAGAGTCTCCTACTCCACCAACTGAACCAGCCAGGGGCCCCCAGGCATGCATTTTAGAAGGAGGGAAGCCAGTTACGAGGCTGTTGCAAAGATCCAAATGAGAAAATCAAAAAGGGCTGAGGACTCGTGTTGCCTTATGGTTAGAGCCTAAGAGTCTGTGGTTGAAGTCTGTGCCGGCAGCTTAAGTATCCTAGCAACAGCAGTATCCTTCCTCACCATTCCAGAGACTGAAAGAAGATGAGTCTTCTGTCTCAGATGGCCATGTTATGTCCCCAGAGCCACTGGAGGCAGCTGAGGAAGCAAGGAGGGAAGGGAGACAGAGGAGCAGACGGACCTTGGGACCAGAGAGCTTTTTCAGGTGTAAAAGGCAGCTGGGAATGAAAAACATAAAAAAGGTAGCAGAGGCTTTGAGGGACTTTAGGGAGGAGACTAACATTTAGATAAAGAGAGGATACCTAAACATGGAATAGCAAGCACCAAGACCTTCCGGAGATGCCTCTTGCACGTGTATACCATGCTAATCTGGCCATGACTTGTCTCCTTTCCTGCTACTCCCCTCTCAGAACCCTCCAAGTCAGCCAGATCAGATTCTGCCTCTTTCCACCCGATCCTGATTGGGAGGAGTATTTAATCTGCCAGTCATATCTTACTCATCTTCAAAAGTCACCTCAAGCCCTCTTTCTTTCATTCAACAGATTTTTGTTGAGTACTTGTCATACTCCAGGGACTATATTAACCTCCATGAGTGATATTGAGATACTAAAAAATGGATCCTATCTTCAAGTGAGAGGAAAAATAAACTAACATTTATTGAAGATTGCTAGTTCTAAGCCAGAGCCACTTGTTATTTTGTGTAATCCATATAGCAACCTTAATTTATAGATGAGAAAACAAGGTCAGAGAGGATAATTAACAGGTTCAAAATCACAAAATCACATGAACTAAGACTCCAACTCAGATATATCTGGTTCCAGAGTCTTTATCTGTTCATTTGTCCTATTCCCTCTTCCCAAGCAGCATTTTAACAAGAAGCCGAGAGGTAGAATGTCTCAAGATTTTTTGGTGATGTCATCACGGACCCAGGCTTATTCTGTTTATCCTTCTGCTCAATCATCCTTAGTTTATTTGATTTTATCCTTTTGTTTTTTGCCTTGAAATCACATAATGGCTGTCTTAGCTCCAAGTACCATGTCTTCATATGACAGAATCCAAAGAGGAAGGAAACAGGCAAAATGGATCATTTTCTACTATTTCCACACACACCCCTCCCCTTTTTATTAAATAGCAAAACCCTTCCTAGAAGTTTCCCAACAGATCTCCCTTTAAATCTCATTGGGTCATTTGCCATCCTTAGACTATTCACCGGCAATTGGCTTAGACTAATCACATTTGATCCCTTCGGCTGAGTACATTAACACCCAACCAAATTGAGATCTGTTAACAAGAAGGTAGAGAATGGCTCTTTGGGAAGCATCTAACAGTGGCTGTCATAGAGATAATAAATAATATCTTACTGGAAATTACTTCATCCGTGTGGTACTCTTATTGTAAACTTGTAAAACAAAATTCCAGTATAATCTCTTTCTTAAAAATCTAGACTTGCTCTCTTTAGTGTGATCTGTTTCCTTCTTTGGCCACTGAGTATGAATCTTCTTCAGTCTTCTTCCCCCAACAGTTCATCCCTTCTAGACTTCTCTGGGCTGTGATCCTAGTTTTCTTTTCCCAAAGCACAGATAGCCATTTTAGTATATGTCCTGAAATTGATGGCTTTTTGGGTCAATCCTAGAAGAAGCTCCTTAGACTTCTTACAGAAGTTGTTGTATTCTGGGGCACCTGGCTGGCTCAGTCAGTAGAGAATGCACCTCTTGATCTTGGGGTTGTAAGTTTGAGCCCTACAGTGGGTGCAGAGATAACTTAAAAACAAAATCTTTAAAGGGGGGGAAAAAAAGCAGTTTCTGTATTCCATCTCTGTACCTGAAGGAGACATGTTGAAGTCTTTCACACAGTTGGTCCCTCCCCCAATTCTGCCTCCACACATCTAATTAATCTCTCCCAGAATCTACATCCTCATTTTTCATCCAGGAACCTTCTTATTTACATAATCAACAATTCTGCTCTCTTCCTTGCCTTGGATGCTAATTTTGTATATTCCCAGGCTTCTTATTCATCGCCTTCTGTTCTTTTGTGCTTTTTTTTAAAAATGTTTTTATAAAATATTGAGTAGATATGAAAAAATTTTTATAAAATATGTGGAAGGTATAAAGAATCACAATTCACTTAATACCACCTAGTTTAAGAAAACAAACATTGCCATGACTGCTAAAGCCCCTATATGCTCTTCCCTGATCCTGTCTACTTTCTTCTTCCCCAGAGTTAACCTCTGTCCTGAATTTGGGACTTATTATTTCCTTGCTTTTATTTGTTTGTTTGTTTGTTTGTTTATTTATTTATTTAAAATTTTTGTTATTTTAGAGACAGCGTGTGTGCAAGCAGGGGAGAGGGGTGGGGGGACAGAGAGAGAGAATCTTAAGCAGGCTCCATGCTCCCCGCAGAGTCCCAACTGGAGCTGGATCGCACAACCTGAGCCGAAATGACCCGAGCCGAAATGCAGAGTCAGATGCTCAACGAACTGGGCCACCCAGGGACCCCTATTTCCTTGTTTTTTAAAAATAATTTTGCCAGTGGGCGCCTGAGTGGCTCAGTTGGTTGAGTGTCCGACTTCGGCTCAGGTCATGATCTCGCGGCCAGTGAGTTCGAGCCCTGCGTCGGGCTCTGTGCTGACAGCTCAGAGCCTGGAGCCTGTTTCAGATTCTGTGTCTCCCTCTCTCTCTGACCCTTCCCCATTCATACTCTGTCTCTCTCTCTGTCTCAAAAATAAATAAACGTAAAAAAAAATTAAAAAAATAATTTTGCCAGTATGTATTTTTAAACGATACATGTTTTAGTTTTACGTGTTTGAATATCATGTAAATGGAATCATACAGTATTATTATGTGACTTACTTGCCTTTTTTGTTCAACATTTTCCTGAGAGTCATACATGTTGATGGATGTAGCTAGACTTATTTTCACTGAAAGAATATACTACAGGACATATGCACATATTTACCCTTATTAGATAATGTTAAAATGGTTTTCAGTTGCCACCAATGTAGAATTAAAGTTGCTCTCAGTCCTTGCCAACACTTAATATTGTCATATTTAATTTTTTTGTCTGTTTAGGTTGGTGTGAAATGATACTTACTATGCTTTTGATTAGTATTTCCCTGTTTACTAGGGAGATTGAGGATCTTTCTGTATGTTTGTTGGTCATTCAGTTTTCCTTATTGAAGTCCCTATTCAAGCCTTTTATCCATTTTCTTATTCGATTGTTCTGTTTTTGTTTTTGTTTTGATTGGGCCTTAGATACACAGAATTGAAATAAACATTATCCTTGGCTCATAAGCATCAAAAGAAGGTCCATTTTTGGTCTTTTTGAAATACGTATTTTACTGTTTATTCATTAACTTAAATATTTTCATAGTGCTATGAATATCCATATTCCTACA